TGAGCCTCAATCCCTTGCAATTGCTAAATTTGTGTCTAGAAATAATTACTCTACGTCCCAGCAACCATTAAACTATTTAAAGTTAAAGTTCTGAGTATGACTTTATATGTTGCTCAGCTGTATGTCTATGTCTTCTAACTTGGAAGCAATTCCATTTAAAAAAAAATCATACTTACAAGTCTACTACTTAATCTCTAATGTTTTAATAGAGCTAGAGTTGCATTTCCCTTGGGGCCCAATTAAGATTTTGTCATCTCAGATTTTGGCTGAAGCAAATCCATTGGGAATTTCCTTGGTCTACCTCACCTCGCTAGACAGGTTCTCTTGTACTGTGAGAAGACGAATTAATGATGATATGACATAGCACAGTCTTTCTTTGCCAGCCTTATCTGCTTCAGGCATCAATGAAACTTCAGTTGAACTGAAGCAGAGCATTTGGGATTTAGACACCCGAACACAATAGAGCCAATGCTGCCCATCCCTTTTATAGTACAATTGCCTTCTTTGTGTCAATTGCCCCTAGATATGTCTTCAATATTCTACTTGCCCCTCATGAGTAACTATTTAGCCTGGCCCAAATTGGCCCACTATCTATTAGGGCACAACTGGAAGATATGTGAGTCTCCCATATGAAAACTGTTCAGACATGGAAGAAAAATCTGTTTCTCATGTGCTATTAAAATATCAATTATACACCCAGTAGCGATCAAACTCAACATTTACAATTACATTAGTTGCCTTTATGACCAAGAGGCCATTATCCTTCTTTGGATGATCATTCTTCAAAAAGCTCTATGAGGGTTGCAAAATGCCTGTCAACAGCCAAAACTCTTAGAAGCTGTCAGGTTCCTCCATCAAGTTCTTGATTCTGTTAATTATTTCAGGACTTTCTTGCACCTTTAAAATTTTTTTAATTATATTTATTTTGTTGGTGGTCTTTTTTTATTGTGTTTGGTCTCCATAAATAAACTTTGATTGATAGGCTATCATCATTAGGTCCTGTGCGGAACACATTGGGCAGTGACTGTTTCCAGTGGTTTCAATCATTTGCAGTATTTTCGGTATTGTTCCAAGAGAAATTAATCATCTTAAGATCTTCCTTAAGTGTCTGGCACCAAGTTTTCTGAGGCCGGCCTTGTTTACTCTTTCCTCCAGGAAGGTATCCAACATAGTGCAACTTTTGGATGCTGGTCTTTAGATATGGCCAACAAGGAACATTCAAGGTTAATTCACAGTTCTCAATAGATATTCTAAATCTGATCTTCATAGTACCTTTTCATTAGTGATGTGGTTGCGATATGAAATGAGAAGGATTCTTCTAAAACAGCATTGTTGGGAAAAATTTAACTGTTTAATCATCTTGGTTGTACACTTCCATGTTTCACAAGGATATATTGCAGTTGGTATGACAACACTCTTGCAGAGTTTTATCTCTGTGGTAGTACTTATGGCTGCCATAGAACAACATGCATTGAAACATAGCCACTGTCATTCCTATTTGATAGTCAATATCCTTATCTATACCTCCATCAATAGACATAATGCTCTCAAGATAAATAAATTGCTGGACTTGTTCTACAGCCTGGCCAGAGACTATATAGGCATGTTTTCTTGAATGCTTCCAACTTACACAAACTTGGTCTTCTCAAAATTTGCCACACAGCCCCAGGGACAGAGCGCCTGCCCTTCTTCCATAACATGAGATCAGGAGAACTTCAAAAGGTAAGTGTGGAGTGTGATGGGCATGTGGGGAGGAGGTCCAAGCACTGCAGGTTTTCAGCAGGGAGAGACGGGGAGAGAGGTGGAAGGGTGCTGCAGCAACCTGTGGTGGGTTGTAAGGGTATATGACTGAAAGCCCTTTACAGCCACCGTAACTTTGAAATGGGGTCAATTGTAACTTTTAGGGGGTCTGTTGTAATTTTGAATGTTCATTAAATGGCCTATCACACCTCAAGGTTTATCTGTACTGCACTAGTGAGGCCACACTTGGAATACTGCATCCAGTTCTGGCCAATAAGATACAAAAAAGATGATGAGATTCTAAAAGGTGTACAGAAAAGAACAGCAAAGATAATTAGGGGACTGGAGGCTAAAGCACACGATAAACAGTTGTGAGAGTTAAATATGTCTAGTCTGAGAAAGAGAAGAACTAGAGATGAATGATAGCAGTCTTCCAATATTTGAGGGGCTATCACAGGGAAGACAACCTATTCCCCAAAGCACCAGAGGACAGGACAAGACACAATGGATGGAAACTTATTAAAGAAAAATCCAATCTGGAACTGAGGAGGAATTTTCTGACAGTGAGAACAATTAATCAGTGGAACAGCTTGCCTCCTGGAGTTGTGTGGACTCCATCACTGGAGGTCTTCAAGAAAAGATTGGATATCTATTTGTCTGGGATGCAATAAGGTCTCCTGCCTTACGTAGAAGACTACAAAGTCCCTTCCAGCCCTATGATTCTAAGAGGTTAGTATCTGAAAATCAGCTCTACACACCAGTGGTGGGTTTCTACCGGTTTGCCCCAGTTCGAGTGAATCGGTAGCAGCAGTGGGAGGCTCCGCCCACCTGCCTGGACGTCATCATGGATGCTCTGTGCATGTGCAGGAGGTTCTGTGCATATGTAGAAGTGTTGCGCATGAGTGCTCACAGTTCCGAACCAGTAGCAAAGGTAAGTGAAAACCACTACTGCTACACACCACCTTCGAAACCTGGAAACTATGTCAAAAACTTGTCTAAAATTGAAAGCACTGACACAGAAGAATGGAGAGAGACCTTTCCTCTTCCTTTTACAATTCTTGCTGAATTGAGTTGCTATCAGAGCCAAGATGAATTGGATTGAAAGCTAAGCACATTTGACATTTACAGTGCTGTGGGAAAAAAATGTAGTTGGATAGGCCTAAGCGGAATTGAGACAATGCTCTCTGTGATTTCAGTAGAAATGAACAACCATCAAGGTTAATGGCTATTGATAAAGCAATGCTCCATGAAGTTGTCCGATCACCTTTCAAAACAATGGCCATCCTCTCATTTTATAGCAACCTATTCCACTGTTTCTATTCTATATAAAATTAGTTCAGGCACAAACCTCCCCAAATTAGTGTTAATCAGGCCCCCAAGTTCAAATACTGTTAGGGAATATTCTCCCCATTCCAATTCTCCATGCCCTGCTTGAAAGCTGTACATTTCATTAACACAAGTGGAAAATTGTGAACTGTGGGGGATAATTATGGTATGATTGGATGAATTCAGTGGTAAGCTTTGTCCTGACTCTTTCCTCTTCCTGGTCCTGTCTGCATTTTGGAGGTTTCAAAGGGCCTCGTTCAAGAGCCAAAGGGACCAACTGAACAGAACAAAGTTGTATAGAGCAGTGTTGGTCAATTTACCTTCTTTAAGATGTGTAAAGGTAAAGGTAAAGGTTCCCTTCGCACATATGTGCTAGTCGTTCTCAACTCTAAGGGGCAGTGCTCATCTCCGTTTCAAAGCCGAAGAGCCAGCGCTATCTGAAGACGTCTCCATGGTCATGTGGCTGGCATGACTAAATGCCAAAGGTGCACGAACGCTGTTACCTTCCCACCAAAGGTGCTCCCTATTTTTCTACTTGCACTTTTTACGTGCTTTCGAACTGCTAGGTTGGCAGAAGCTGGGACAAGTAACGGGAGCTCACCCCATTACATGGCACTAAGGATTCGAACCGCTGAACTGCCGACCTTTTGATTGACAAGCTCAGCATCTTGGCCACTGAGCTAAGATTTTATTTATTTTATTTTATTTTTATTTTATATTGGATTTCTATACCGCCCTTCTCCCTGAGGACTCAGGGCGGTGTACAGCCAGATTAAAAAAACATGCAGAACAAATATTAAAAACAATTAAAAGATGTGTAGATTCCGAAAATTGCCCAGACAGCATGTCCCTCAGCTGGAGTCCCCCAAACCCAGGAATTGAAGTTGTTATTGTGGTTGAGAAATACTGCTCAAGGGGAGAAACTTTTCCATCCTTGTGCCTGCCACAACCAGTACTTGCCTGCCACAACCAGTATTCATGTACTACAGTATAACTTCAAACCTGGCACTTTTTGTGGGTAAAGGAATTGTAGAGCTATGTAAGGTTGTAAAATTGGGTGTAATTCATTTAACTGTTGCTTTGCTTAGCAATGGAAATTCTGGTCTCAATTGTGATCATAAGTCAAGGACTACCTGTACATTCAAGACATAATTCTAATCATAGGTGCATGGACAGAGAGGTAGAAGGGCAGATCTGACCTATTAAGACTCAAACACAATTCTTGAATGAGCACCAAAATCAGATGTCAGTATCAGGTGTGCAACAACACAGTCACCCCCTCCCTCCCCAAAAGTCTCTAACCAAACTTAAACTTAAGTAGTGTGAGGACAGCAGTTTGGTCTTTTCCCCAATATGTATGAACATAACCAGTTTCTCTATGACACAAATCATTCCATGATCTCCTCTGTTAGAGGGATCAAGTAGATCACTGAGTTGCCTCTCAATTTACCATCTTCTCAGCCTCTGTTCTCCATCCTGGTTTCTCATTAAAGGGATAGGAAGCCAGTTTTTGTAAGCATCCCTTCTATTCTCTTCCATTAGTTCTCTCTCTCTCTCTCTCTCTCTTCCTCCCTCCCTCTCTCCCTCCCTCTCCCTCCCCCATTCATTTAGCACTTCAAGGACATTCTCTATGTTCAGTTCTCATTGGAAGATTTGATGCCTTCCCTGAATCTTTCTCCTCTCATTTTCCCCCCTTTCTTATATTCAACAGACTTTGTCTGAGACATCTGAGACCTCTCAGGGTCTTTCTTTTTTAAGTTGCAACCATTCATATTCAAAGCTACACAGTTGCTCTGGGGTATATGGGGATGCATACCTAGCATCTATCCAGAGTTAGATAATAGATTATGACATAATACAAAATGTCATGTATCACTCCCTGTGCTGTCATTTGTCTGTGCTGTACAGTGTCACTCAACAGGGGTTATCCCTGAGTGTGAAGGAACACAATGGCTCATGTGGTTAGAATGCTGGCTTCCCAAGCAGTAAGCTTGTGTTTAAGACCCGAGTGCTGCTGTGGGGTGGGGTGAGCTCCCGTCCTGCACTCCAGCTCCTGCCAGGGACATGAAAGGAGCCCCCAACTAGGCTTATCCTGGGCAATGATCTTTTCAACCCAGAAGCGCCTCAGTGCCTCTGACATGAGTGCGATACGATCTCTGAGTGTATGTCCAGCTTTTCAAGCGAAGGCATCACATTGGCAGCTTCGTCCTTGCTGAAGGTGCTGAGGATCCTGGTAAGATCTGAAATGATGACCCAGCAGGTTGCAGGTTGTCTCCTAGGCATTTAAAATTAAGTTTAACAACAGCAGAGATCGAACAAGTTTATTTGCTCAGAATGTCTTCTCCTATACCATCAGTCCTTTGCCTCCTTGATGGGGAGGAGGGAGGGCAGCAGGAATCTCACCTCTAGATAAAGCACTGTGATGTCATCACCCACCCTGTATTCTGCTCCTGTAGGCCATTGAAGCATTCATGGAAATAAAAGTGACAGAAACTGGCATTCTGCATTGCAGTTCACCAAGTTTATATTACATTTTTGCTTTCTACGTTTATTTTCGGCATCCAAATCGGGTGGCAGACAGCTTGGTGGATGTCTGTGAGTCTGTCAAAGACACAGTGGTGGATAACAGTATGGTTATCTCCATGTTGAAATGTCCCATAGTGAGTCGTCCCATGGCAAGTTGGAAGGAGCAAGTCAGCCAGGGTGAGTTATCCCATTCCAGCTTTTTTATCTAAGAAGTTGTTGGAAGCTATTGAAGAAGACTCTTGAGGATACCATGAACACCCAAGAAAACAAACAAATGGCTCACCAAACAAATCAATCCAGAATTCTCATTTGAGGCATAAATAATCAGGCTCATATTATGCTACTTCAGACACATTATGTGAGGACCTAGCTCTGGGAAATGTGGAAGTAAAGAGAAGAAGGGAATGGCCAATGGCAAGTTGGACAAAGGCATGATCTGTGTACCATTGGAAGACCTGAAAGACCAGGATGAGATCAGATCATCCTGGAAAAGATCTATCTAAGAGACTGCTAAGAGTTGACATTGACTTGATGGCACATACCGTAATCAATTAATCAGTCACAATCACATTTTGAATATTGTATTCTATTTTGAACTCTGTACATCCAAAAGGACATTTGAAAGAGGAAAAATAGAAGAAAAAGATTTTAAAAATCAAGCTAGAATAATAATAATAATAATAATAATAATAATAATAATAATAATAATAATAATAATAATAATAATTTTATTTATATACCGCCCTTCTCCCGAAGGTGTACAGCCAAGATTAAAAACATAAATATACAATATCATAGTTAAAATTAATTAAAATCAATAAATAGTTTTGGCCAAATTTTAAAAACCCAATATTAAAACCCAATTTAAAATCATTCAGTTAGACAGCCCCGCCTGTCAGAACAGTAGGGTCTTGAGGGCACAGCGAAAGACCCAGAGGTCAGAGATGTTACCAATATCTGGAGGCAATTCATTCCAAAGGGCAGGAGCTCCGACAGAGAAGGCTCTCCTCCTGGGTATCACCAGCCGACATAACTTGGCTGATGGTACCCTGAGGAGTCCCCCTCTGTGGGAGCGGACTGGTCGGTGGGAGGCTATTGGTGGCAGAAGGTGGTCCCGTAAATATCCTGGTCCTATGCCATGGAGCGCTTTAAAGGTGGTGACCAACACCTTGAATTGCACCCGGAAGACCACTGGGAGCCAGTGCAGCTCGCGCAGGAGAGGTGTTACATGAGCGTAACAAGATGCGCCCATAACTACCCGCACGGCCGCATTCTGGACCAGTTGGAGCCTCCGAGTGCTCTTCAAGGGGAGCCCCATGTAGAGAGCCATATATAGTCTTCTTGGCAGTAAAAGGGTTAGGTTTTTTTGTTTTTGTTTTTTGCAGATACAGATTTTCTGATGATCTATCAAATATTAATCAGATATGGTCCTATTTTTTGCTAAATCAGCCAAAGTTTCTAATTACTGTCACTTACTGTGTCAAAACAGCAAAAAAGGAGTGACAAAAATTATCAGTCAAAATGCAATTCTCCTGTGATGAAAAATTTACAATATGGGGGCTTTGGAATAGGAAAACCAAGGTGAATGGTAACATAGAAGTGAATAAAATTAAGTAGGATGTGGATAGTAATGTGTTATTTGACAAAATTGTGAAGGATCACATTGCTGGTGGCCATGAGTTATAATGACCTCTAATTCTACTATGATGTTAGATAATTTTATGCTGAAAATAGATAAATTTTAACAGATGCTGCAGATCATTACAACTCAGAGGAAGACAGGAATGCCATCTTAGCATCTTTCCTTTGAACACCAGGTACTATATGACTATAACAAGAGCATTGTGTAAAAGTGAATAGTGCCCAGTGCTCTTGTGGGCCCAGGGTGAGAGATGTGGAAAAGAAAATGAAGCGACCAAGTCTCCAGAATGGGGAAGGTACTAGCATCATTAAGCTTTGCCCAACAATGCCGAAAGTTGATGCCAGAGTACTCCCTCTATTACTTCTGAAGTCTTGTGCTGTAGCAGAATACTTGACACACATGACAAATATAGAAACAGGGTGGGACATTAATCATAAACGCCATCTTGGTTTTTTTAAAACCATTCATGAATACTTCTCTATACTTATCATATGGCTTTCTTGGCAGTACAGCACCCTCTCTGAGATACGTATTAAAAAGTTAGTAGCATCTAGTGAAAAAGATCTCTTAACCAGTGGTGAAATCCAATTTTTTTACTACCTGTTCTGTGGGTGTGGCTTGGTGGGCGTGGTGTGGCTTGGTGGGCATGGTAGGGGAAGGATACTGCAAAATCTCCATTCCCACTCCACTCCAGGGGAAGGGTACTGCAAAATCTCCATTCCCTCCCCACTCTGGAGCCAGCCAGAGGTGATATTTGCTGGTTCTCCAAACTACTCAAAATTTCCGCTACCAGTTCTCCAGAACCTGTCAGAACCTGCTGAATTTCACCCCTGGTGCCGCTGTGAAAAGATAGTTGAACAGGGCACATGTGAAAAAAATATGTTATATTAAACTTATGGACCTAATCACAAAGTTTCCCCTCCCAAATTCCTAATAAACTATACTTTCTATTACAGAGAGTGATTCTATAAGTTTGTTCTATGCCTGTGTTTTGTTGTCTGAGCTTATAAAGAAAGCATTTCCAATTCCCAACGAAGTATTTTTATCTCAAGAACACTTCTTGTCAAGGTAAGTGAATACACAATGGTGTGGCTGTATTTGTTGAGCACATTTGTTCGTGTGTTCAGAAGGGGAAGCAGGTTTCAAATATAGAGGGGCTGAGAATAATAGCAAGAAGGAAGGAGGAGTTTATCAGTAACCTTCTGAGAAAGAAAAGTAATTCCCATATGACAGGTATCGGCAAACCTGACAATTTTACAACTCTCAGAATTCCTGAGCCAGCCATGCTGACTCAGAGAATCCTGGGAACTGAAGTCCAGAAATCTTAAAGTTGCCAAGTTTGGAGATCCCTGCTATATGAGAAAATACAGCTTAGTTTTTCCAGAATGAGAGGTTCTGCCTCCACTATGAGCAGTATTTCGCTCTGGAATCCCAATGGCTGGATCAATAGCTGAACGTATTACCATGGCAACTGTACAGAGCAACTCATCTCAACGTGCATGGTGAACACAGTATTGATTCTTCAGCATCAGATAGTGCCATTTCCTTGGCATCCAAAACATGGACGACGGGGTTTCTGGTTGAGGGAAAATCCTGCAGATGGCAGGGTCATTACTGGTGACGGAAGAGCTTACACTTTTTAAAGCAATAACCTCCAGCAAGAGTTTGCGCTCAGATCGCTAAGACAAATGACAGCACTGGAGGTGTTCATTAGGGCTCCTCGTTAGTTTCTGACAGCCAATTAGCTATGGTCAGGGAAAAACGCACATTCTTGGCCTTTTCATTGTTAGCATACGATACAAGGTAGGTGTATTTGTAATGCATCTAAACCGGCTGCTGTAACAATGATGCTTAATAATTATCTGTTGGTGACCTCCAAGCTTTGGTATGGCATGCAGCATATCTGGGAAGGAAATTACCTGCTATACACAAGCTTGAAAGAACATGAAGAATAAAACAAGGTTGGGGAAAGGACCTTTGATAATTTAGAGGCTCTGCATGACAACAAAACTGGTGGCATAAGGATACTGTAAAGAGAATCAGAAGAAATCAAGAGATCCATGTCTTACATGATTTGCATACAGGGCTGGCTAAGGGTATTTGAGCATCTTATGCTCAGGAATTGAAATATGGCCTTGAGTTTGGTTCTTAGATCACCAAGATTTGCCTCAAAAAAGATGATCAGGTATAGTTTAGTGATAAAACACATGTTTTACATGCAAGAGGTCCATAATGAATTCCCTAGCATTTCCCAGTAAGGTTAAATTAAAAAAAAAACCAAAAGATTTATCATAAGATTCAACCGTTCAGCTGCAAGTTTATCCAGCCATACTCCAGATCTCCGCCAATGCTTGTAACTTCTAGTATGATAAAGGAAGAAAATTATTATATGGGGGTGGGGAAATAATTGGTATTGACCGTGCTTGTTTAAATGAAGCTTATATTTTAATTAAGCTCAATTTGAGTATTAATTAATTTAAAGTCACCTTATTCCTGCTTACTTCTTAATCATCTTGGAGTACAGTCCTTTCAGTGCACTGAAAGTTTAATCCCTCTCTCTCTCTCTCTCTCTCTCTCTCTCTCTCTCTCTCTCTCTCTCGTGTGTGTGTGTGTGTGTGTGTGTGTGTGTGTGTGTGTGTGTGTGAAACCAAAACTCTTGACTTCTTGCTCTTCTAACAAATCTGAAATCAAAATCTATGCTTGGCTTAAGATTTTGATTTGTAAAGAGAAAATCAAATTATAACCTGTGAGTATGGAACACTAACAGGCTCAAATTATTCTACTTTGGTGGGAAGACTTAGCTCTCCAGGAAAGGTAGAAGGATGAACAGTAGCAAAGTGGATGGACTCAGTTACATAGTCCATGGGTGCACCTTTGGACAATTTGAAAGACCAGGTTGGGAACAGTTCATCATGGAGAAAAATCTATCTATGTGCTCACTAAGAGGCAGTGGTGGGTTTCTACTGGTAGTGGCGGCGGTGGGAGGCTCTGCCCACCCACCTGGACATCATCATGGATGCTGTACACATGCGCAGAAGGTTCTGCACATGCACAGAAGCGCTGTGTGTGAATGAAGCGAGCACACGTTCGTGTGCTCATACTCCTGATTCTGAACCAATAGCAAAGATAAGTGGAACCCACTACTGCTAAGAGACAACAACTTTATGACATATAATCAATCAAAAAAGTTCCACAGGTGCTTTTTCAAAAGACAAACTGGTCTTTCTTTGCTTTTCCTTGAAGATGTTTCACTCCTCATTCAAGAAGCTTCTTCAGTTCTGGAGAAGAACTGAACAGAACAGAATAGAACTGAAGAAGCTTCTTGGAGGAGAAGTGAAACATCTTCATGAAAAATAACAACAAAGAAAGTCCAGTTGCCTTTTAAAAAAGCACCTTTGGAACAACTATGACCTGGGTGACTGAGACTTTCCATAGACAATCAATCAAGAGTTGAACAGAAATATCCAGAATCGTTTAGACCAGACCTGGACAATCTATGGGCCATGGGCCATATGTGGCCCTTCAGCTGTTTCTATCCAGCCCACAGCAATGGCCCTATTGGTTCAGCCCTCCACAACAGTCCAAGTTTTGCATATGGCCCCTTGAGAAAATTAATTGCCCACTCCTGGTTTAGATATTTCTCCTGGTCAAAAGTGCTAAAACTGGAGTGACTGAGCAGTGACCATGAATGTTGATTCATAATAAGCCAAAACCACTGAAAATGCTCATTAACTCTGAAGGATGAAAGTGGCATTCGGTAGCATTATTTACAAAATATCCTAAACAATGCATGGAAATAAAAATAAATACAAGTTTCAAAGCTGTTGCTGAGCCATAAGGGCAATCCAGCATTTTATTTTTATTTATTTATTTATTTATTTTATTAAATTTGTATATCGCCCTTCTCCTGCTGGACTCAGGGCGGTGCACAGCCAAAATAAAAACATCCCAATACAAAATTTAAAATTTGTTAAAAGAATTTTAATAAGTGTTGTGCTCCTGCTTGAGGACAGAGGCAACTGCATTGCCTGCCTTTGTGACTGGCATGTGTTTTAAGCCTTCCACAAAACCTATTAAAGGAAAGCACCATTACCAGCAAAAATGTCAACTTGGATGACAAATATAAAGTGTCTGTGAAGCTGCGGTTGGTTAATTTTTTGTGATGATTTTCCTATGCTGACATAATGAGCCATAATTGGAATTACTGGTGAATGAAGTCATCTAAGTTTGCCACATCCTTTGTAATGTAAAGGCTAAGATTAACACAATCAGATTGTGATTCTGGGTCTTTGCTTTGTTGTTTTGTCTTCATGCTTCTTTTTGTACATGTACGAAGTAAGGAAGGAGACTTCAGTTACATTGCCACAATTAACGTCTTGCCTTTACGCACAAACACACACACACACACACACACACACACACACTAGTTCCAACAGTACAGTAAGCTCAAAAATATCATGAAGAGAATATGAAAATAAATCTTCAAGCAGACTGAGAATAAGATTGAAAATCAGAAGTCATTTTTGGAGGGGGTTAGTTTTGAAAAACGGCAAAGCACATTTCAGCACAATGTTAATCTTGCCAAATAAGACATGCTAATGAGGAGGAAGAAAAATGCTTATTTTTACATTTAAAAAAAAAACATGTAGGGGTGAATGTATGGCACATAATGTGCAATTGGATTCTAAGAACAAAAATCTACTTCCAGTACCAGTGCAAACCAAGAAAACATGAAAAGTTGACTCAGCCTTCCATCCTTTCCAAGGTAGATAAATTGAGGACCCAGTTTGTGTGGGCAATAAGCTGACTTTGTATAAAATATACAAAAGTATGAAGGCTATTGCTTAGCACATTGTAAGACTCCCTGAGTCTCCGGAGAACGGCGGCATATAAATCAAATTTTAAAAAAAAATGCATGGCCAAGCAAAATTAAACACTTGGTTCTGTCTATATATTTGTGTGTCTGTTTCCTCTGTTGAAGATTGGGACAACTGGTAGTCCTCAATTTACAACCATTTGTTTACTGACCATTTGAAGTTACAACAGCACTGAAAAAAGTGACTTATGACTGTTTTTCACACAACTGTTGCAGCATCCCCATGGTTATATGTTCAAAATTTGGATGCTTAGCACCTGGTTCGTATTTATAATAGTTGCAGTATTCCGGGGTCGTTCAATCATCCTTTGGTACCCTCTGGCAAGGAAAATCATTGTGCCATGGCCAGGATGTTTGCTGCATCTGGCTTAAATGAAAGATGCTGTTTTTAGTGGGTTCTGGCACTTTATATCTCACCATTTGTTCTGATGTTGTTGTTCCTGTTATAATTCTTTTTTATGCTTGTTTTAGGGTTTTCTGTGTTGGTTTTTAATGTATTGTTAGCCTCCCAGACTTCTGAAAACTGGGTGAGCAGCGATATAAATTGTATGTATGTATGTATAGATAAATAATGTCCTGAGATTTTTTTAAAAAAAATAACGTTGGCAGCTAGTGCCTTGCAGCATGCTAGCTTTGCCTGTTGTATATTTAATCTATCCAAAGACTCTTATGAAAATGAAAGAGTCAGGTAGGGACTTACTAAGGAGGCAAAGAGAGGCCCATAGCAACCTCACTGCAGACCCCAGAGGATTACAAAATCCACAATAATGTTTTTTACACCAGGGATCTCCCAGGCCACAGCCCACTAAAACCAGGCTGCAGGAGAAATGGGGAAATGCACGTGCATGAAGCTCCACTTGCACAAATGGCGGGCAAGTGCATGCACCCGAAGCTGCACTCTCTTGAGCAGAGGGCGCCTGCACGCCTGTGCAAAACTCCACTCGTGCAAGCAGAGGATGCTTGTGCTGCGTGCGAAGCTCCATTCACGTGAGTGGAGGGCGCACTTGCTCCACTCGCACAAATAGAGCTTTGCACACAAATGTGCACCTGCCACTCACAGCCCCCCTCCTTTCCCCTCACATGGGCCGGGCCAGGCCAGGCCACCAAGCTGGAAAGGTTGGGGACCGCTGCTTTACACAATTCTATAAATTCAAAAGCCAGCTTGAAAACGGTACCCA